AATGGAATGCTTCCGAGTGTTGCTTTTGCAGAAGGTGCCATGAAAATGATACATAATGTGGTAATCTATTTCTCTACAAAATGATAACTCAAATTTTCACCTCTGTTATCAAATAATGTCGTTGATTTTTGTGTCTTGTTTCTGTTATGCTTTGGCCAGGGTAAATTGAAGGAAATGGAAGTAGTGGGCTCATTAATAAGTAGATTGCAGTCTGCAGAGAATTCTCTACGCAAATTCTGAGAATAAATTCACTCATTAATCATTATATACATTTTTTTGATGACTTAATGATGTTTAACTGATCATTAACATCCTATAGTGTTGTTATTTGTGATTGCAGTTAAGCTGTGATTACAGTTAACGATGATGGAACTCTGCATGAGGGGGATTATATAAAATAATTAATAGTTCATTCTTTTCTTCTATGTGTAATTATTAATAATTTCGTAGTTTTTTCTCAAATGCAGTGCGATGTAGCCTCAAAGGCAGCTTAATACTAACTAAATCTAACCTTTGCAGGTTGTAAATGACTTCTTCTGTAATAGAAAACCTGTTTACAATCATGATCAGGAGCCTGCCCATTCAACTGCTCTAATTGTGAGTTATTAGGAACATTATATGATGCTCATGAGTCCAACCTGTTTGCTTTAGAAACCATATTACTTACCTGGGAGGTGTATGCTTTGTTGAGGGGGTTTAGTCATTTACTCTTGTACCCAAATCATTCCTTTGGAAACTGGATTAGACTCATCACTTCATGTTTTTGTAGTAATTATTATTTGGGCTGGTTTCCTCAAATTTCAAATTCATTGCATTGGAAAAACACAAAAAAATATACTCAAAAAAAAGGGGTGACCATCAGTCCAGATAAATTATTGTTTGCCACAATATATTTTTATTCATATTTACAACTGTACAAATACATCCTGTCTTTTTTTTTTGGGAGTCTAAAATTCATCCTATTGTTTGGTGTTGGGATTATGTCCGTATTACTAACACTCCTTATCCATTCAAACAAGAAAACGTTTTGCTTCCTTTAAATTATTACATTTCTTTATTGCGCCCCTCTTCCAACCAATCGGTGAACTGAACCGGCCCGCTAACCCAAACGCCTTTTGTCCCCCAAAATCGCCCCAACGCATATCCCACTTATACTTCGTTGCTGTGATTATGAACTACGTTCGCTGCCAGTCTTCCGCAAACCAGGTACATCACGCGTGGACCGCCGTTGTTAACAGGTATGTCTCCCCGCCACAGCGCCCTTCCCATTCGTCATTCCACCAAGTTTTCTTTTTTTTTCCATGGTCTGGGTTTGTGTTGGTGACAACTTGTTGCCAACATTGATATTGTTTTTGGGTTTTCTGTATAGCTGTGATGGACTTGTTCAGTACCTGTACTGTCGAACAAACAAAAGATGCTGGTGGCAATGATGCCTTAACGTACTACATGCACACCGTGCATGGAAGGAGGATCGTCGTGGCTGTTGTTGCCCCTTTCAATGGAGCCCAGACTGCTTGTATGACAAGCAGAGACTGGGTGCTGTTTTTGGAAGCTTCAGGCTACTTCAGGCTGTTGCCCAGGGCATTCAGGAGTAAGGAAGAACTGGAACATAAAATGAAACACTATGTCCATCATGGATTTTACATGCCTCAACTAGCAGGTTACCTTTATTGCCTCGTATGGCACCCAATTGTTGATTCACCTTTGGCACTTTGTTCATTTAATGAAGTTGTTTTTTGTTGATCCGCTGGTTACACAGTGTGCCGCCAGACACGCTCTGTTCACTTCCCTGATGTGTTACAATTTGCTATTGTTTGGTTCCTGATCACCCTTGCTCACATTGAAATTGCTGTACAGTCATCTCATTTCATTCCCTCATTTAACTTGTGTGTTTGTTGGTCATTTCCCATATTTTCCTGTACTTACTCCATGCCTCTGTTATGCAGAAAATTCCTGCTTGCATGCACAGACATTTGCTGGAACACACCCGCCAGTATGCTAAGCTTACGTATGGTGCCCGTTCCTGGACAGTAAAAGTGGAAGACTTCACCTTTACTGATGGGTTTGCAGATTTTTTTATTGAAAACAATGTCCCTTTTGGTTCCCATGTCCTCTTAAGACATGTTGGCAATTTCGCGTTCGAAGTTCTTATATTTGACAGGGATGGATTTATTTTGACCTTGGCTGGGGCCCCTTCAAGTAGTATCATGGATGACACTCCCCCGGGTATGTTTCCCCTCGATTGAACTATATCTTTCACGCATCATTAAACCCATTCACCCCCCCCCCCCCCACCTCCACTTTCCAGCACTGTTTGTCTTCTTCCCAACTTTAGTATCACATGCTTTCAATGGTTTGCTGCAATCTCAGTATGTTAAGTGTGTTCCTAACCATTGTATTCCTGCAAATTTAACATGTTTACCTGTACGTTACAGATCCATTTTTTATGCGTGTTGAATCATGCTTGCCGAACTACCCGTATAAGAAACTGTACGAGGTCGCGTCGTTCTTGTATGTCCCAAAACAAACTACAAAGGTAATTCTTTGTCCTGCATTCATTCTTCCACCTTCTTCAATCTGGTTTGTGTTCCACGACTTTCAACTCACCTTCACTTTTGTCCTGGCTGTAGCAAAGCTGTGAAGCTTTCCTCCGCCATTCCAGCGACACAAAGGGCCGTTTACAAGCTTTCCTTGGAAGAGATGATGCATATATGGTCACTGGGGACGGGCCAATACTGCGCCAACTTCAAATGACTTTTCAGCTCAAGAAACGAAGAATCCTGGTGTTCTTCATGCTTAGCCGCGGTAGGGTGCGCCTGATTGCTATGTCACGTTGTGGTATAGAGGCTCCCCCATTGAAGTGTTACTCATACGAGATATCTACAGCATCATGTGCCCACCCTCCTGCCCAACCTTGACCTCTTAATATGTTGACAGAGTTTTGCTATGTTTAGATTTTTGCTTTTGCATTTCCTACTTTTGATACTGCTGCTGCGTCAGTAACTATAACCATACGCAGTTGTTTCCCCTCTTTGCTAAGCCAAGACATGGCCATTGTATGCTTAGATACTTGTTTCCTCTTATACTATGAATTGACATTACTCATTTCAAACTCTTAACTTTTACATGGTTGCTTGGTCATTCTGTTTTAACATGTTTTGCCCAATTTTCGGCTTGTTTTCAAACATTGGGCACGGATATCGCGCAACGCGCGTTTCCACGCTAGTATATATATATATAGAGAAATCATCTCATCAGGCCGGCCTGACGGGCTGCCCCGTCCGGCCGAGCCCGTTTGGGCACCTTCCCGGTGGAATTTTTTGATGAAATTTTTTGAGCATGTTCCTCATCAAGTCTAGTTTGTCCATACCAAATTTCAGCTCAAAATTCGATCGGGAAGGTCGTCAAATGATTTTTGCAAGTTAACTGGTCCGGAATATGTATTTTCCGGACCAGTTAACTTGCAAAAATCATTTGACGACCTTCCCGATCGAATTTTGAGCTTAAATTTGGTATGGACAAACTAGACTTGACGAGGAACATGCTCAAAAAATTTCATCAAAAAATTCCACCGGGAAGGTGCCCAAACGGGCTCGGCCGGACGGGGCAGCCCGTCAGGCCGGCCTGACATGAAGAGCACTCTATATATATATATATATATATATATATATATATATATATATATATATATATATATAGAGGGCAGTTCACATCAGGAACTCCTGATGAGAACCCCCGTGCGGACAAGACCATCAGAGGGTCTTCCCGGTGGAATTTTTTGATCAACTTTTTTGAGCATGTTCCTCATCAAGTCTAGTTTGTCCATACCAAATTTCAGCTCAAAATTCCATCGGGAAGGCAGTCAAATAAATCCTGGAAAACTATGGCTCATTCTGCGCACATATAAAGTGCAGTATGTTTCCCGGATTTATTTGACTGCCTTCCCGATCGAATTTTGAGCTGAAATTTGGTATGGACAAACTAGACTTGATGAGGAACATGCTCAAAAAAATTCATCAAAAAATTCCACCGGGAAGACCCTCTGATGGGCTTGTCCGCACGGGGCTTCTCATCAGGAACTCCTGATAGGAACGGGACTCTATATATATATATATATATATATATATATATATATATATATATATATATATAATATAGAGAAAACTTCATGTCAGGCCGGCCTGACGGGCTGCCCCGTCCGGCCGAGCCCGTTTGGGCACCTTCCCGGTGGAATTTTTTGATGAAATTTTTTGAGCATGTTCTTCGTCAAGTCTAGTTTGTCCATACCAAATTTCAGCTCAAAATTCGATCGGGAAGGTCGTCAAATGATTTTTTCAAGTTAACTGGTCTGGAAAATACATATTCCGGACCAGTTAACTTGAAAAAATCATTTGACGACCTTCCCGATCGAATTTTGAGCTGAAATTTGGTATGGACAAACTAGACTTGATGAGGAACATGCTTAAAAAATTTCATCAAAAAATTCCACCGGGAAGGTGCCCAAACGGGCTCGGCCGGACGGGGCAGCCCGTCAGGCCGGCCTGATGAGAAGAGCCCTCTATATATATATATATATATATATATAATACCCCTTTTTATTATGCATCACTACAAGAAAATGGGCTTTTAACGACAACTATATAACGACGACTTTAAAAAATTGTCCGTTAAAAGTTTCTTTTAACATCGACTAATGAGTTCGTCGTTATTAAATTTTATCTTTAATGACAATAATGAAAAGTTGTCGTTATTAATTAACATGCAGTGATCATTATTACTCCGTACTAATAAAACGTTTCCTGATATATTATTTTAAAGAATTAAATCGAGAAAAAACCGATTAATTCAACTAAAAAAATTTAAAAAATTATTACTCCGCACTAATTAAATTTTCAGTATCCCGCGTTTCACCTAAAATTTTAAACTCTGTTTTCGTTCCCTCCAGGTACGTCAGTTGAATTGGATATAAATAAAATAAGCCCTAACCCGCTAAGCGTAGGGTTGAAATAGCTCTCAATCAAGCTTGCCGCTTAAAGGATTCATGGAATGAAATTGCCCTCGCTGATCATTCTTCTCTCATTCATCTCGCTCTACACACGATGCTATTGCTCTCTACTCAGAGATTTCTCAAAGAATTCAATCGCTCCGTTGTTCCTGGACACTCGCTCGATTATGATTGTTCCTGACCGCAGAAAGATTCGCCCATAAATAAATCACTGGATATTCTTGGCCTCCCGCTCAACTCTTATCTCTGGTTCAGTTATTTCGCTCACTCCCCTAGCTTTATACGCTCGATTGGCCAAGTTTCCTTTAGTTCGATTTATCTACTAACATACTAGCATGATTTAATCGCTCAACTTTATTTCACCAGGTAACTTTAGAGCCCGTTTGGAGAACTCTGTTTTCGGCTTATCAGGCTTATCAGCCAGCTTTTTCATCAAACACGTAACTTTTACTTTCTCGCGCTGAATTGTGTAATAAGCCGAAAAAGTAAGGTTGGAGTTACTTTTCTGGCTGTATTGGCTGAAGTTACTGTAGAGGACCATTTTAGCTATTTTTACATATAATTTTTTCTTTAATTTATTATTAAAATATATTTTTAAGATATTTTTTTCTTAAATCAGCAGAATCAGCCAAAACAGCCACTCCAGCCAGAATATCATAAATTTCAGCAGAATCAGCCAAAACAGCCGATTTTGGTGCTACCAAACGGGCTCTTAATCTTCATTATCGATTATTCTCATCTTCTTGTCTTAACCACTTTTCAGAAATTTATAAGGTTGATGCATATTTTATTTATTATTCCCATCTGTTTGGTTGATTTTCTTTGTTGATTTGCTTTGTTGGTCTTCTTTGATTTCTTGGTTGAATCACTAAAAGTTTTATGCGTTATGTGTGCTGGGTTTTGAAAGTATTCAAAATGCTAAACCTGCGCCAGGTAAAGTATTATGGGCATATATTTACCAGAAGCTGATTAATACGCTTGAAATGCTATATGTGATGTGAAGATGAAATTCATAGTTGAATTACAATCAATTAAAGCACTATTAAATGATTACATCTGAAGGTCATTTTTATTCTTCTAGCAGGTCCAAATTACTGTAATCTAGATGAAAAATTAGATATGGGAGTCTCACTAGCTTAATTGTGTTACCTCAACATTAAAAGATATAAAAAAGGATTGTGAGTTAGATATGATAGTCTCATTAGCTTGGTAAAGGCTGGTTTGCAACTGCTTAAAAAAAGCATTTCCCGGCTTTTGGCTTAAAAAGCACTTATTTGCCAAACACTACCAATTTTTACTTTTCAAAATCACTTTTTTCTCAAACACCATCAACTTTTACTACTAACCACTTTTTCCAAATCACTCCAAAAATGCTTTTTTTAAGCAGAAGCAGTTGCAAACACTCCCTAAATAGAAAAGATGAACATCATATTCTAACTAATCTATGAATGTCATATGGTAAGACCTTTCATATATAGCAGTAATAATAATTGTCAACTGCACGTAATGTCATTCATGCTTCTCCATCCGATTAACCCAGTTTTATTCAACCAATAACATTAATTAGTTTTGTTAAATTAGTATGCAGTTTTATTAAACAGTTTCTAACTTGTAGCATCAGTAACTAGTTTGTTTAAATCTGAATCCTTGACCAGTAACTACTTCAGTAGTTAGTATTGTAATTTGAAAATTTTCATATTGAAGGTGGCAAATCTTTTACTTCTCAGAAGAGTAGTGTGATTGAAAAAGAGAGACGAAGAAACATTTTGGTTGATGTTTCATGTTTGTGATGATAAAATACAGTTGCGTCCAAGAGGTCAATGAGATCCAAATGGTAAGTGTTTGGCATTTTCTAATTGTATTCTTTTCTGCTATGTTTACTTTTATTATTTAATATTTAGAAGAAATGTTGTGGAAATATATAGTTGGCTTTAGTAATTTCAAAAAGAGTGTTGTGGTACATTGAAAAAAACAGACAAAGAAGCATGTTTGGTTGATCCGAATTTTCCCCAAGATCCAATTGGTAATATCTTAAACATATAGATAGTCCTGATTTTTTTCTTTTACTGTTCAGTACTTTACATCATATACTAGTCTTGGCTGAAAGCATCATAATTTTTAGGAAGAAACTCGTGACACAAATGAAAAGGTCATTGACTTTCAAACGTCAATCTAAACTTCCCATTTCTCCATTTCCGCCTAAGATAATGATTTCATAAGCTGAGCAGTGTAAGTATTAACTAGTATTTTTTAGTGGTGCAGTCAAAGTTCATATTTTGTGATGTTTAGCATGTATTCTCTCCATATATAGGTAGTACAAAATGTTTGATGCTCAAGTCTCGAGATCGGATTGTGGGTTTGGAGGAGGAATAATGCGGTGAGATATTATTGGGTCATTACCTAATCTAGAAGATCTTCAAGCTGAGTTAAATGCTTCTAAAAAACAGAACCAATTTCTCGCCAATCATGTGGAGACGATTCAAACGCGGTAAGATGTTAAAATGTTAAATTTTATAGCTTGCATTTCTCAGTACGTTCCAAGTGAATTCTGAAGTCTCAGTTTCTAATTAATACCTTAACCAAAGTGATGCATATATATTAAAGAATGGAATTTGCCAGTTCTTAAGTAGGTGTGCTATTGGGTAATATAGTTTTGTTTAAGAAGTATTTTGTTTCTCCAATGAGTGTTTATCATTTTGCTAGAAAATCTGATATTTGCAGGGTTTCAAAGATGAGATGTTACAACAATGTCAACGAGGTTCTACTTTATTTGTGATTTAGTATTCAATTTTTCATATATAGTTAATTTAAAGTCTCAGTTCCTAGTTAATACCTTAACCTTAGTGATGCATATATTAAAGAATTTAATTTGCCAGTTCCTAAGTGACCTATTGCTACTGGGAAATATAGTTTTTGTTTAAGAAGTATTTTATATCTCTTAGAGTGTTTATCATTTTGCTAGAAAACCTGAATTCTATGTTCTTCTTTTACAGGTTTTAAAAAATGAGAAGTCGCAGTAGGCGGCCACAGAGGGCGCCTACTGTATCTAGAAGCCGCCTTCCGTCGGAATCTGGCCGCCTTCCGTAGGCGGCCAACCAGGCGGCCGCCTTTGGTCTCATTTTGGCCGCCTTCCGTCCCGTCGCCGACAGCGGATCGTGGCCGGTCCCGTCAGCCGTAGGCGGCCACAGAGGGCGGCCGCCTTCCGTCACAAATGGCCGCCTGCCGTCCTGTCTGGCCGACCGGTGGTTGGTTTTGTCCCCTTGTGCCGCAGGCGGCCACCGTAGGCGGCCGCCTTCTGTCCAGTGTCGGCGGCCTACGGTCTTTTCCACATTCGGTCAAAGTCAAAGGTTGACTTTCCAAAAATACCGTAGGCGGCCGAGAAGGCCTCCATTTTGGCCGCCTGTTCGGGCGCCTGTGAGATTATTTGTCCGGCTTGTTCCTTGTTTTGTGCTCTTCAATATTGTCTTCTGGACCACTTTGAAATATTGTTTCCTTCTTTCGGTATGATATCATTTGTTGCCCAAATTGACTCATTTTGTGCTCAATTGACCCGAAATCCCGCTAAACATATTATGGATGTGATTTTTACCTGATTTCATGAAACTTGAACCAAAATATATAAAATGTGTCTTTTCTTTCTATTTTCATTCAAAAATCGCTTAAATTTGATAAGAAAAATAAGTACAAAAATGGACTTATCATGAAGCATATAAGAGTCATGGCACGTGAAGAAGATAATTTTGAAGTCAAAAGAGCTAAAGGATCAAGCACGAAAGCAAACACGAGCGAAAAGGGGAAAAACAGTCAAAAAGTCAACATAGAAGGTTCGCATGCCGTGTGGACAGGCCCCCTCACACCGTGTAGACAGGCCCCACACGCAGTGCGGATGAGGCAGGGCTTAGGAATTTTTGGACGCAAGATCCGCACGCCGTGCACGCTATTTTGAAGATCCCTGGAAGGTCCACATGTCGTGCGGACGTGACCCGCACGCTGCGTGGAGGAATTTTCGGCCAATTTTTGTTGTTTTCTATTAAATCCAGTCTATTTTCATCTGTTTTTCATGATGAGCTTAGAGAAAAAAACCTTAGGACGATGATTTTTTCAGAGATTTTTAGACTTGGATTATCAAGATTCTGAGATATTTTGTAAATTCAATCTTTTTAATCAAGGACAATTAATTCTTTCCTTCTTAATTCTATTGATCTGTTAATTATGAATTTTGAGTAAATTTAATTAGAAATTTGGGATTGATGAAGGGGTATTATTAATCACAATCAAAGCTAGGGTTCGTTCTTGAGGGTTTAAATATAATGCATGATTTTTTATTTAATTTGGTATCTTTGTAACCTGGAACAGCAGCTGAGATTATAATTGCACATAAAATAATTTAAGAGAGATCTAAATTATTCTCGTACACTTTCACACACATCTAATCATTTGCTATGAAATTATATTAATAGCGATTTGGGAGCCGTACGCCCACTCGATTTGGCAATAATTTAGGAACTTGACGCATGAGAGATCAACCTCGTTCTCTAAATTATTGTACTCTACGCTGCGAGAGCGGTAAGAACTTAGTATTGACCTGCATTGTCCTATTAAATAATTTTCATGTGTTTAAGGGAGTGTTTGCAACTGCTTCTGCTTAAAAAAAATTACTTTTGGAGATGTAAGGAAAAAGTGATTAGTAGAAAAAGTTGATAGTGTTTGAGAAAAAAGTGATTTTGAAAAGTAAAAGTTGATAATGTTTGGTAAAATAAGTGTTTTTTGTGTAATAGAAAGGGGAAAAACACTTTTCACACGCAAGCCGAGAAAAAGTAAAAATTGGTAGTGTTTGGTAAATAAGTGCTTTTTTAAGCCAAAAGATGAGAAGTGCTTTTTTTAAGTGATTGCAAACACTCCCTAAGTTTGATTAGCGCTGAAATCTGGTTTCCCCGGAATCAATCCTTACTTGTTCCCTTCTCTCACATTAGTTAATTTCCCAAAAGCACATCTCGCACATTCACATTTATTTTATTTATTTCAATCGCTGAATTTATTTAATACCCGATTCTCTTTTTCCATCCTTGTGGAGATGATACTCGTACTATAACTCTATATTACTACATTTTTATGTGCGAGAAAATTCATATCAGAAAGTGTCACTAACAAAGTGTCACTATAAGTCAGTTTTCTAGTATTGATCAACATCAAGCCTAGCTAGTTTAAATATTATAAATAGGCGCTTGTTGAAATCTATCAATATATCAACTATATTAATAAAAGAAGAGGAGATAATTAACACAACATATATTCATAAAGCACTATATAACATGATATATTCCTCTTCATACATATACATATTTACTGCTGCATAATATTTCCATTATATCATCATATATAATTCACAACATTATATATTGATATTATATTTTTTAAATTTGTAAGCGTATGCTTTTGCTAGGGACATTTTTTTTCTTGAAGCAATCCCAATTCACAAGCATAAATGTGCACGTGTAACTTGACACAATAATACAACTAAATCTAACATGAAATGGAGATGCATTAAACCCCATTTGCAGTTCTCTTAAATATTTGAGGATGTTCAGCGTATGATCTTGTCCAATTTCCGTCAATGGTTCTCGTAAATATACGAGGCTGTCCTGCAGGAAATGTTTCTTTCCAATTCGGGTGTTCAATAAAATAAGCACATTCTCTGAGAGGAGAGAGGATAACGTTTTAATGTTATGTACTATCCAAACGATAATAAAGCAGATATATAAGTTATCAGCTATCCTCTATAAGTACTATCGCTAATAGGCTACTTTGTATATTATTTAGCCATGGGTTAATACACAATTTTATTTATTATCAACTAGGTTATTAGCTTTTGTTTCCAATCAAAACCTTATTAATCGTCCACTTGAAACTAATAAGAACAAACTATAGCTAGATTATGTATGAACTTTTATTTTATTCTCGCATAATTACAATACTCAAAAGTCAAAACATAGACATGAATTTTTATTTTTTGGATCTAGAAAACGTCATATATCATTGCTTAAAAGTTAAACATGCATGTAATTACCTTCTTATCCTTTGCGCATAGATAGGATAGAGCCTCTCATCATTTCTTTGAACAGTGAAGTATCCCTTACTGATTTCCTTATCTGATAGTTTATACAATGATTCACGACCTTTCACAAAAGCCATATCCCTAAACACGTGTGCAAAAAAAGGTACGTGTCAATTCTACAAGCTGCCGGTAGACACATAGAATTTGGATCAAAAGAGAATGTGATGTGGACGTTAGATTTAAATATACACTCTTGTACAATGAACGATATCATCAACGAAAATAGTTTTATAAATATACACTCTTGTCACAAGTATATATAATATATATATGAAGCTAAAGTTTCTCATGTATGCAATGCTTGGTACATTGACTAAACCAAGCAAACAATGCCCCCGTTTGGATAACAACCTTTTACCCAAAATGCTAATGTTTTAAAACTAGAAAACGATGCATTTATCAGCGTTTAGCACCCAAAGGTGCAAAACAAACGGGACCAATGTATAGGTTGATTTTACCAAGAACATGGAGCAATAACGTATTTGTCGGATACAGTGTCATATGTCTCTAGCAATCTTAAATCTTCTCCACACGGGGCGTCTTGTCGAGCTATCCTAGCGGTTCTATCTGGATATGTTGTTGTATCAAATTCTGCCGGAAATATTGATCCAGTGGCAGTTTCCACCTAATATCAATAACAAACATATGAGATTAAATTATGAGTTATGCACATGCAAATACTTGTACTACCTCCGTTCTCTTTTAATTGCAACATTGGACTTTTTGCACTATTCACATGTTCCACTTTGACTATATTTTATTAATTAATGTTTTATAAATTAAAATGTTAAAAAATATTGTTAAATTCTTCTCATTCTAAATTTTCAAAATATGAATTTTTAAATTTTTTTACTATTAAGGAATGAAAGATATTAATGGTCAAACTTGTGCGTTGGCAAACGTGAAATGTTGACTGTTGCAATTAAAAGGGAACGGAGGAAGTATATGCTAAGAGCTAGTAGCAAAACACATATATACGTACGTCCCATTTTAGTTCGCCTAACTTGATTTTTCAATTGAATGTTGTCTGACTTTGATCGATTATATATTTATATACAGAAGTATTGATAATATGAAAATGATATAGAAATATTCTTTGCTAAAAATACTATCATAAAAATATAAAGTTATTAAATTTTATATAACTATATTCACTAAAATTATTGGTCGAAGATTACCCTCTTTGACTGGAAAAGTCAAATATGACTAACTAAAATGGGATGGATGTAGTATATACATACTCCATATAATTGAACTAATTAATTAATTTTTATTATTACCAAGAAACCACCGAACATAGGATATGCATTTCCTTGTTCATCATGTACCGTATTGCGATTAAGAATGTGTAACGTTTTGATACTGAACCTTTTACTGCTCTTACAAAGAAATTGAATTATCTTTCCGCAAAGTTTAAGCGAAATTCCTCGGATAGTTTTTTTGGCATCGCGTGGTGCTACATTTTGACCATTAATTAAATGTACCTGCACATAATATCATGGGATTAGGATAAAAATGAGACTTTTTTAACTTTCGAAAATGTGATTATATTAGTTTCCATGTCTGGGGAATTAAGCTAAAAGTGTTTTACTAAATTACTCATCCCAATTATGAGTGTGACATATCTCATATTGACTTTGACTTGACCACCTGACGCTCATCGATCAATTGCAAGTGACCACCTGGATATTGACATGCCGGTCACATGATCACCTCTGACCATAGTGACTGTCTTTAGTGACCAATGCCGCAATGACCACTGCCGGCCGCATCAATCATTGCCAGTCGCAATGATCACCGTGTCAGTGACCGTTAGAGTTGTAGGTCATCGTCAGCGACCAAATTTACTCCACTCTTCTCTAACCACCTGCACCATGCTTCCAGGCAAAGCCTAATTGGCGCATCACCACCGCCTCAACCTCTTGGAAACATAATTGTACACCTAGCTGTCAACCAAATTTAAAATATAATTCTTGCACCGCCACCTTTGTCCCAATTCGAAACCCTAGCTGCCGGCAGTGCCATCGCCATCTTTGTCCTGTAATGTCGACTCGCAAAACTTCGAGCTACGAATTAGTCCTCAAATCAATGGATTCGTCGCAGGGGTTAGTAGTCAACTTCCATCTGTTTGTCACTCCAAATTACCGAAAGGTCGTCGCCCATTATCAAATGCTTTCGCTAACCTACGGAGCAATCAACGATTCACCGCCCCTAATTAAGAATCTCACCGCCTTCCATTGATAAACGAAAATGGTACAACGAAGGTCATATATTCCAACTGCTTCTGAAGGGAGTGGCATGTGCGGCGGCGGCGGCCTTGACATAGGAGAGAAAATCCACCGATTGAGGGAGGTGAAGGGGAGAGATCGAACGTTGGATTTATTAATTAAGGCCATTCTTGTCTAAATATTTATATTTGATCTCATTTTTGTCTATAAAGTCTATAGTATTAATTTTTAGAATTTTTTGCCGTAAATGGGACTAAAGTGATGCTTAAATTCCTAGGAGTAAGTATATTTTATTGCCTAAATAGGACCAGTATTCCAATTTTACCCCTCCAATTAAGTTTAATCCTGCTGTTACACCAAATTAGCAGTCTGGTTCCAAGTTTGCGCAACAAAGAGCTGGGCGGCGTCAATGAGCGAGCAACGACAGCAGGCAGAAAGCAGCGACGGAACGGCAGTAGAGTGCGACTCACAACGGTAAGTGATGAGCGGCGGCCGACGATCTGTCTCTTCTCCTCTGTCTCTTACCCGAGGTAATTTGTTTTTCTGCAATTTGTTTATTCTCCATCTAGATCTGGTTTGGCCATGCCCTAGTGATTTCCTAGATTTGCAATTGATATGTGTTTCTACTTTTACTTCTGTTCTTTTTTTGTTTCTGAAATCATTCTCATCTTCTAATCGATCTGCAATCATTCTCAATTTTTTTATTCTCGTTCTAATGACCTACTCCTAATGAGCTCTGATTTTTTAAAA